TCCCTTTCATCTCTGTATGTCTGACGAAAGATATATAGTACAGCTAATATATTTAGGTTACGACAATGCAATATTTGCTTGTCTGAGGACGTGGCAGTACACTATATGTACTGCTCCTTAGTAGGATGCAGGCAACAAGAGGACCTGTAAGTTAGTCTCAGGATCAGAGGTCCTAGCTTACACAAAATAGCATGGGTTTCCTTGGGGCAAAACTGGGCTTTGTGCTTCTGCCAAAATAACCAAAGGTAGTGTTTGTTTGTTTTTCATTACAAAAAATGGTATCCAGACGCATCAGATTGCTGCCTGAGCATCCTTTCAAGAAAGCAAACATGAATTTGTGTAAGAAGGTCTCTTGAGAAAGAAGAAAATGCCAATTAACTATTGCTTGATGCCAAACTATATTGTGCTGTTAGGCAGGTTAAATTAAGAACCAACAGACTGAGCCTAGCCTGAGGTGTAGCTGACTATATGAGCAAAAACAAATCAACTATCTACAAAAATATTAACTGCTAAAGCCGGTTAAAAGCTTAATTGCCCTGACAAACAACATGCAGAGCATGAGATCTATAGCTTAGCCTGTGGCCACCAAGCTATCCATTTAAACATTGCAAAAGGGGAAAAAAAAAGGACACCAGTAAATTATGTTGCTAACCCTCACAAAAATGGGTTGGCATACCCATTCATACTAAATTCAAAAGACAGACACACACACACACACACAGATCAAAACATGTCAGATGAAATCCCTAAGGGAATTAATTAAATAACAATTAAGTGTTTCATAAAATAAGGCACCTGTGGCATTGTCATGATTTTATACAGGCCATCTATCCATCAGATATTATAAATGTACTCGTTGTTTAAGCTCCTAATCATAATGTTGTACCTATTAGTTCCCTTTAAAGTGCATTATAAAGCAATTCAAATCAGGTCTTACATTTCAGGTTGGCTGGAGAAGAGCTTCTCTATTGTTTTTTTGGAAACTCAAAATGGATAGTAGGTTTGGCTGTAACAGGGAGATGTCAGCAGACAGAGTTCCTAGCTCTAAAACACACATTATTGCCTCCAAAATACACTATAACAAGAGCCCAGATTTAAGCAGTACTTCATATAAGATGGGCATGTGAAAAAGCCTGGAAAGTCCTAAGGATGCCACGTCACACTGCTGGTGCTGAGTCTGACTCTTTCTGATACTGTGAAGCTAATCCTCAAACCTTGAGCTTTCCTCTTTCCATATCCTCTTTCCATATCCCCACTCCCCAGCCAAAAGGCCTAAGAATAGGGAGTTGCCTTAGCATAATCTTGCACTGCACAGACTTGACCAGTGCTATCTAGGCAAGAGGCCATAATGCTGTCTTTGGAAGGAGCAAAGCAGGGGCCAAAAATGGGCAGCATGGTTTTGGGACCTTAGGAGACAGAGTTGTGGCCCTCAACCCCTTAAACAATGTTCATCCCAGTTTAGATGAATAATAATTAATAATAAATGACATGGAGGATATCCCCTAAAAGCAGAGGGAACTTCAAAAATGCCCAGTAAGGAATATGCGTGGGTTTGGGGCAAAATATACTAACTACTGCCTGAGATGGAAGGGAATAGGTATTCTGGGGAAGACACAACTGCCTGGTTGTTATGCTTTCCACAGGAAGTTCCTCTTACACACGGAGTAGATGCTGCTTGGTTTGAGGCAATGATGAAATGCAGAGGAGCTTCTGATTCTACTTTCCAGTCTCAATAAGGAGTTTCAGTATCAGGTTAGCCATGCTGGGAGGGCAATATAAGAAAATGCCACAAGAGATGGAACAAGTGACATGAGTATTACACAATCATCCAACATACACTGCCCTAAGTAAGTAATTAGTCTGGCCTTCCCTGGTCTATCACCCTCCAGAGATGATGGATTAAAAATCCTATAACTTCCAGTCAACAAGGGAGAATGGGGATGGTGTATGAGATATTGGGGAAATCTAAATCAATTTATTTCACAAGTCAAACAGTACACAACTTTCCAGAATAACAAACACTGTTGTATTTACTTAAGCCTGTTAAAATAAAATGTGGTTCCAATGCAGCCAAGGGAAGCAAGTGATTAGATTGTAAGACCTGATTAAAATGCACATTAAATGGCTAAGTGACAGTTTAAACACAAGTCACCCCATTTCAAAAGAAGTATCTTTCACACACTTCACTGTGGAGTAAATTGAAATGAAGTTGCCCATCCAGCTGAACAAAGTTGCTCCATTTTGCACAACACCCTTTGGTGCAACCCTTTGCTTATTGATTTCATAAACAAGAAAAGGTGAGTGGTAAGTGAAAGGAATTTATACAACCCTCCTTCAGCCAATAAAAAAATATATTTCTCGTAGCAAAGCATCAGGCATAGTGCCAGTTCAGGAAGGACTTTGATTGCAGCAGTACTTAGCCATCCAACCTGTTCTGAAAGATAAAGGAAGCTGTGGTAGTCAGAGGAGGACCTGGGTCCAGTCCATAGCTGGGTAACCATTACCACTCAGCTGAATCATAACAACAGAGAACTGCTGTGCAGTAAAAAGAAATGGAAAGAGAACTGCATAGTCTAGCCTGAGCTTTCTGGAGGAGGAAGAAATGGATAAAAATGAAATAATATTAATGTTTTGAAAGGTAGCAAGCCCCATCATTATTTCATCCTATCTTTTGGCATTGCTAAACTGGATCCCAGTAACCTTCTCACATGAGACTAGGAGAAAGCTTTCAAAAAGTATTAAGGAATTTATTTGTGACAAAAATAATCGGAAAAGAGGGAGAGTAAAACGAGGGGGAAAGGATTAGACTCTGAAAGTAAGGTTTTAATGAAGGGCCAGGGGAGAGATAAGGAAGAAGGGAGCTATAGCTCCTTAGGTGATAATGTATGTTATATTTTGCTTTTTTCAAAATCTGATTTTATTTATTTATCAAATTTATATAGCCGCCCATCTCACAAGAAGTGACTATGGGCGGCGTGCAACAATCAAGTAAAGTAATAAGCCAGCCTTGCTACATTTGGGAATCCTTTTGATTACTTCTTCCCAAATCCTGCCCTGAGAGCACTGAGCAAACGGCTGAGTTATCACTTCTTTATTTTTTTTCTAGTTATATGGCAAACAATAGCGTGGCAGGTTTTGTTGTTGTTGTTCAGCATGACTGAAACAAAGAGGAATCATTGTGTGTACTAGACTTCTTTTGGCCACCCCATAAATCCTACCAGAAAAACTTGCATCCTATCCTTACTACTATGACTTACAGTGGGGCAAAAAAGTATTTAGTCAGCCACCAATTGTGCAAGTTCTCCCACTTAAAAAGATGAGAGAGGCCTGTAATTTTCATCATAGGTATACCTCAACTATGAGAGACAAAATGGGGGAAAAAATCCAGAAAATCACAAAATCATGGTGGAAAATAAGTATTTGGTCAATATCAAAAGTTCATCTCAATACTTTGTTATATATCCTTTGTTGGCAATGACAGAGAAATCATGGTGGAAAATAAGTATTTGGTCAATATCAAAAGTTCATCTCAATACTTTGTTATATATCCTTTGTTGGCAATGACAGAGAAATCATGGTGGAAAATAAGTATTTGGTCAATATCAAAAGTTCATCTCAATACTTTGTTATATATCCTTTGTTGGCAATGACAGAGAAATCATGGTGGAAAATAAGTATTTGGTCAATATCAAAAGTTCATCTCAATACTTTGTTATATATCCTTTGTTGGCAATGACAGAGAAATCATGGTGGAAAATAAGTATTTGGTCAATATCAAAAGTTCATCTCAATACTTTGTTATATATCCTTTGTTGGCAATGACAGAGAAATCATGGTGGAAAATAAGTATTTGGTCAATATCAAAAGTTCATCTCAATACTTTGTTATATATCCTTTGTTGGCAATGACAGAGAAATCATGGTGGAAAATAAGTATTTGGTCAATATCAAAAGTTCATCTCAATACTTTGTTATATATCCTTTGTTGGCAATGACAGAGAAATCATGGTGGAAAATAAGTATTTGGTCAATATCAAAAGTTCATCTCAATACTTTGTTATATATCCTTTGTTGGCAATGACAGAGGAGAACTTGCACAATTGGTGGCTGACTAAATACTTTTTTGCCCCACTGTAACTACATCAACCCTTTGGAAGATTCAGTTATGAAACGAAGAGCCTACATAGGAAATGGGCTTAAAAGCTTAAAACCTCTGTCTACTTTGATACCTCATTCACCTCCCCCCCGCCCCCCCACTAAACAAGAAAAGTTATCCTCAACACGTGGCAGCACCTAGCACCGCATAACTAAGCAGTCTTGGAGAAGGTTAGTACTTGGACAAGGAAGCCAGGATTGTGGGTTAGATGGGAAGCCGCAAAGATCTCCTGGAAGGGACAAGGGCAAACCAGTTCCTCCTTGTTGATGAGAAAATTATTAACGGTCCTCACGGGTACCAGAAGACGAACTCGACTACAGGGGGAAAAAAGAAAGAATGGGGGGGGGGGGAACCCCGCCCGCCCTGACATTTAATTCCCCGGGATCTACTGGGGCACCGACTGGGAAGCTGAGGGGATAAAGTGCAACTCTTTGCGTTTAAGAGGGGACAGAAAGATGGACGGGCGCCCCCACCTCACCAAAAGAAGCGACCTTTCCAGTTTTTCTGAACGTTAAGCCGCCTTCCCGACCGCAGCTTACCCAAAATTTCCTTCCTCCGC